GCCGATGGGGTCTATTTGCCTTAACATCTTTGCTTGATGCATACGCTGGGGCTCCAGGCAGGTCGTCGGTGAGGAAGCTCTTGGTCAAACTGGCAAACTTCTTCTCCTGCCACGAAACGCGAAAGGAGGACGCATCTCGCAGTCTAAAGCCCTCGGACCCTGGTGAGGGCAGGAAATTCACAGCCCCCTTCTTTTTTGGTAAGATCTTTGAAGCGTTGCTTGAAAGCTCTTAAGCGGCACACACACACACACCCCTGTGCTTGGCAACAGTGCAGATGCCTTGGGGCTGTAGAAGGTGTAGACGGAGCCAGTGCCACCGACGGCACTGATGCCACCTGTGCGGAGCGGAGGAAGCCTCGAAGCCGCCTTTTTTGCTAAAGAGTCCCCTCTTCAGCTCGAAAAGGGGCACGGGGCCCCCAGCCTCAGCAGCAACTCCACCAGCAAGGAGCTTCCCTATTTTCCCGGAGAGTTTCGAGCACTGACTTTCGAGGCGGGCCACCCTCCTTAGGCTTCTTGTGGATGATGCCAACCAAGGTATCAGCCACCTCGAGGAGCCCGGAGGCTTCGGGGTGTCTCGGGATTCCGGGCTTCAGGATGGCACTCTCCGTCGTACGCCGGGTCGCCCCCCTCTGATCTTTGGGGGTCTCTGAGGTACTGCTTCAATACTTACAGGCCTCAGCTCTGCTGAACAGCAAAAAACGCAGACGTTGCAGCCCTGAGGAAAGTTAGGGTTGCAATTCGTGGGTTTTGCTGCAAAGGCACCCTCCCCATCTTCCCCCGCCTTAATTTACGGGAGTGGTGCTTCGGACGCCTTCCGCTCTAGACTCTAGACTGTGGAGACTGCAAGATGGAGGCTACGCTACGAGCGCTGCTACAAAAATGTTTCCCAATTGGACTCAAGGCAGGCTTGGAATGAATTCCCAAAAAACATCAACGCCAGTCGAAAGCCCAGCAGCCATATTGTAGCGAAGCTCTCCCTCCACGATGCGAGGGCAAAAGCCTCAGCAAAATCCGCGTTGGAGGCTCTGCCATGCTCTGCCTAAACGCTACAAGTGCGCCAGCAGAGCTCTAGGTGGCAGAAGCCAGGCAGGTATTGTCCTCTGAGGATTCAGAGCTCAGATAGAGTTGGAAGTATGGCCCCGAAACAAGAAGTACGAGCACCTCTCCATGTCCCCGAGAGTCTTTTTGGGCCGAGGGGCGTTGATCGACAAGCTGGCCACCGGCCTCTTTCCCTCCCTCGAGGTACCTGAGCCGGACTTCCGGGGAGGGCGCTGCCAAAGGCCCAGCAGCTTTCCGCGGCGCCGGGGTCGGGGTCACGCTGAAGCCGTCTCTGCAAGCCAGGCTGCTTGCCCACGCCCTTTGAGGTCCAGGTGCCCGACTTGGCAGTGCGGCCGCTCACCTGACATGCCGGTCTTGGGAGGGATTTCCGTGCTTTCCTTGCCTTGCTTTCGCGCCACCATCCCCCCCAAAAAAAGACAACACAGCAGAACAAGGAAACCCCACAGCTGCTTCCAAGGAGCACAGAACTCAATGAATTCTGCAACAGTGTGCTCTTCCGAATGGTTGTCGTTGGCCTCGAGCACTCATTCTGCTTGGGTCCAATGCTAGTTCCAACCAGGTCCTGGGGGGACACCATATCGAACCATCTGAAGGCGGAGGGACTTAACAATTAGAACTGGGTTTTGGGGCCCATTATACCATGATTATAATAAGCAGCCCCCAAGATAGTATAGAGGGCTCTGTAAACGCGGCTGCTCGCGGCGCCTCCATCAGATCCAGGACTTCGCTGTCCTCGCACGACCGCTCGCCGTAGGTCTTGCCTCAGAGCTAAACGTTTCGGGACCTGCTCCGATGGCCTGGGGCTTTCCATCAGTGTCCGAAAGAGAAGAAGCCAAGTGGACTCTGCTCCACACCCCTTGTACAACCAAGCAGGAGCCACGTTACCCCTTCCTGCACTCTGAAGCCGGAACCACCGAAACTGATGCTGGCTCGGTCACAGTAATTGCCACTCTTGAGCTTGATGATCCAGATGCCTTCTCCTGAGGACCCACGATTCCTGAGCTGAGTCCCGGTCGAGGGGGCACCCCTTCTTTCGAGATTTGGGATGCAGGAGAAGCCGAAGCTGCTTCGGCTCTGACCAAGGCTCTGCTTGATGACGCGCGGCTGGAAAGCCATGGTCTTCTTGAAACCTCGCACCGCGGGCGAGACGCTTAAGCCCAGTCGGAGCACGAAGGGTCCACGGCACTTTGCAGAGGGGTTCAGGTACGAGCCGGGGAGTTCAAAGGATCAAAGACGGAGGGCCGGCAGCAAAGATCGCTGGGTCGTAGTAGGCAAGCGTATCCTCGAGCCCAATGTTCCTCGGTTAAGCATTGCTCTCTCTGTCGAAGTGTGGCTCATCTGGTTCACAGCGTGAAGTCCGAGATGAAGTCAAAAAGATCCAAGATTCAAGCTCGCGATCTTGCACAGTGCATCCTGCGCCGTCAGTCACGAGGCTGAAAGGCAGTGTCAAGTTGTTCGCTTCTCGAGTCACAGCAGGCGATATGTCTCCAGCCTTGGCACCCATGAACTCCATGACGTCCGGGGCCGGCCACACCTGGACGCTTCGAACTCTTCCCAGAACCCAAGGCTTCTCGTTTGTAGGACGTCATCGGGGTCATGCAACTCTCATGCTCGGGGCATTTAGAGCTTACGTCCCACGTCCCTCCTGGACAGGACTGCGACGAACTGACACAGCCTGAGGTTTTTACGTGAGCATACGGCGTAGTAGGAAGAGGTCTTCTATGTTTAGGTCGATAAGTGCGGCTGCAGTCCATGGCAACTCTTTTTGCATGCCTGACTCACCCTTGCAGCCTGGATCCCCTTCTTGCGCATCTCGCGCATGCCGTTGTCAAACTTGCCCTGGTCTCCTCCGTCGGCCTTGATTTGTCCTGGCAGAAAGCTGGAGGGGTTGATACAAGCAGCTGCCAGTCCAGCACGGTTCGAGTCCCGATGCTGCTGGAAGGTTTTTTTTGCTTCTGGCTGGGCTGAAGTCAAGGGTGAACAGGACCTGTGCAGAGTCACGAGATCGGAGACTTGAAGGGCCAGGGTGGGCGTCGAAGGGTCATGGCTAGAGTGAACTCACTCCAAGCACTACCATGTGGCAAGACTCCCCGACAACATCGCGAGCTAGCAGTCCTGGGTTGCAGCGGACAATGATGGCATCGAAGTTCTTGACAACATCGAAGAACTTGTCATGCTCCTATCAGGCAACGGAACACTTCAACGATTCAGGACCCTCTACCACAACTACTCACGAGCGCCGGGCTTTCTTTGGGGTTGGTGGGCATTCAGTATCATGACCCCCCAGGCGATGAAACCCCCAAAATGGTCCTCGTGCACGTAGTTGATCAGCTGGCAGCTCATGCCCGCCTTGCGAGGAGCGAAACTGCACGAACCCTGAAAAAGGATGCGCTTTGTTTGGGTTTTGGGTAGATGGTCCAATTGAAAAAGCCAGGGAAGCTGCGCAGAATCCCGGACCTCAAACCCTGTGCCCAAGAAAGTTTACCTCCAAGTCCTACACGACTTTCAGCCAAGCGGATTTATCGGTGATTATTATATGCACAAACTTCACCCGAGAGAGGCTCGCAGCTCGTTGCCAGCGCACTCTTGCGCAAGCTGTCAAGTTGCGGCAACGGCAAGTGTAGAAGAGCATGCAGTCAGCACCCAAAACAGTTGACCCCCTTGGAACTGGCATACCCGTGAGTGAATTCCGGTCTCTTACAATTGCATGTGTGTAGAGTTCATCTTGCAAAGCCTGAACACATTGTTTAATTCTGGGTTCCAACCCCTGCCTGAATGATGCCGTTGGCGAATGCCATGCTGTCGTAGCGGTGGCCGTTGGCGCTCTTGTCAGTGCCGCCACCCCTTGGGGACCGTTTTTCAAAACACACTCGAAGATGCAAGTCTCCTCGACAGAGGGCTGACAGAGCTCTCAAGGAGCTTCTGCCCCGGGCCACCACGCCTGAAATTTCCCGTGTCAGGTTGAAGCCTCGGGCCTCGAGCATGGAACCTTTGCTCCAAGACACGGCTGGCTGCGCACGTAGATGCCCGTGAGGGCGGTGTTGTACCTCGAAACCGTCTTAGGATGGCACACTCAAACCCTTTAAAAACCTGCAAAGCTGCACCTGCTGCTGAACTTCGAAGTGTTCGCCAATTCACAAGAGTTGAGTGCAGGAACCTCTGGGCCCAACGAGTGGAGTCCTCAAGAGAGCTTTGCACCCTCGAAAGCAGCAGTTTGGCTGCAAAGATGAGAGCCAAAGCACAGGCGAGTCCTTCAAAAAATGGACACCCACAGACTGAGACACAGACAGAGACACAGACACCCACACACCCCTACGCCTACCTACAGCTGCTCCCTCCCCAGGACATCGGCGGAGCGGCCTCGGCTGCTTCGGCTGCGGCAGCAGGCCCAGGTCGTCCTGTCCGGTGCGCTGACCACGAGCACAAGAGGGCCCTTTTGCCATGGACCCTTTGGAGCTTCTGTTTTCCGGTCGATGTGGAACCTCTCTCGTCTTAGCATAGGTTTGGCGCAAGCACAGTAGCACTCGCTGGGCGCGTACTGGCAAACCCAGACCGCCTGAGCAAGTCTTCACCACAAGGTGCCACATGCTCACAACATCAGCGCTGCCATCGCAGAGAGGTCCTTGACGACTTTCTTCAGCGCGGAGACGTCAATGGGGCCATCGGAGAAGAACTGCCCGGCTTCGGCAGGCTTGGACCTGCAAAATTTCGGAGAGTGCCCGACTTCTCAGTCTCCCCTTGCCTAAGTAAGCTCTCAGTACTCAGAAAACCGATAGGTGAGCCGCTCCGAGGCCTTTTGAAAAAGCACAGCCCGCTCCGCGGCCTCTTCTTGGCCGCGGAAACGAGGACCTCCATGCCCTTCTTGCCGATGAGGTCTCCGATCCTCTTCACCTGCCGAGAGCCACTCGGTTCAAGCTTGGCCCGGCAGTTCCCGGTCTCCCGGCCTCCATCATGTCCTTCCTGGGGATGTCGTTGTAGCAGGCGTTCGGGGTGTCCTCCTTGCCTCATATCGAGCCCGTGAGGCTTAAGTTTTGGTCGTGGGGCTTCCCCAGGCTTTGCCATTGTCCGGGTTGAGAAACCTGAAGCCCTGGGCGGTTAGGATATCTGAACCAACAGGCTCCCTCGACATGCCAGACGGGTGGCAGTAAGCAGGCAGGCACTTGGAGACGCCGACGCAGGAGCAGTTGAACTCACCGACGATCCACTTCTCATCCTCGCCATCGGCAAAATATTCTTTAGAGCGCCCCATGACCAAAGCACAGGAATTGAGCAGACGAGGTCTTGGCCTTTAGCTTCCACGAGTCACGAAACAGACCGAACAACAGACGCGGAGAGCGGCCTTGGGATCTGTGCCCTCAGGGGAGGAGTTGATGAAGTCGGAGGTCCACCACAAAGGGATCGGTTCCTGGGCTGGGGTCTCGTGTCGCTTACCAACTGCAGAAGGGAGTATTATCGAGCCATGCGCAAGCATAGAGGAAGTTCAGACTGGAAAAAATCGACGCGGTGGACAAGGGCTTGTCCTCTAAGTGCGGAAAGCACTGCACCAAAAGCATCGCAGCCACACCCATGAAAGCACTACAATCTCTCGGAGAACCCCCCAAGCCGAATCCGAGGCCCCACTCTCCGACTACCACGGGTGCTCTGTGCTGTAACCACGCGGCCTCACCGAGCCCCAAAGCTGGCATGATCTTCCTTGGCACAGCAACGCTAGCAATGTTAGTCGTAAAAACCGACGTGGTTGCAGAACTGGTTGCAGTCGTCGCAATCGTCGTCGCGGTAATAGTTGGAATCGTCGTCGTCGTCGTCGTCGTTTTTCTCGCCGTAACATCACAAAACACACGTGAACAGAAAAACACGTAGCGCTCTCTTGGTTTAGTTTCCTTTGCGACTGTCCTAGCCTACAGCAAGGCAGAGAGACGCCTTGCTGGGTGTTGTCATGCGTAAAAGGGTGGAGTTTTAGTTAGTAATTTTTGTTTGTGCCCCCACGTCCCGTTATTTACACAGGATGTTGGCTGCATGCCCGCTGCGGTGCCGCGCACGCTGTTCGCTGATTTGATTTCTGGGCCCCACGTGCCTTTTTTTCTACACAAGATGTTGGCTGCGTCTGTCTCCTGCTGTGGTGCGGTGCCTACTTTTTGTTGACGTCTCTCATTTACAGTTGTTGTTGTTGTTGTTGTTGTTGCTAATGTTGTTTTCATTGTTGTAGTTGTTGAAGCTGAAGTTGTAATTGTAGCTGAAGATAAACTCGTAGTTGTCGTTGCCGTTGCCGTTGTTGTTGTTGTTGTGGTTGTTGTGGTTGTTGTTGTTGTTGTTGTTGTTGCTGTTGTTGTGGTTGTTGTGGTTGTTTTTGTGGTTCTGGATGTGGTTGTGGTTGTGGTTGTGGTTGGGTTGATATTGTTTTCGCTGCTGTTGCTGCTGTTACTGCTGTTGCTGCTGTTGCTGCCGCTGTTGTTGTTGTTGTTGTTGTTGTTGTCGTTGTTGTCGTCGTCGTCGTCGTCGCTGTTGTTGTGGTTGTCATTGTTGTTGTTGTTGTGGTTGTGGTTGTGGTTGTGGTTGTGGTTGTTTGTTT